TGCAATCAGTTCTAGTTTTGTTTTGTTATATTTTAATTTCTGCCTCTATTGATTTCCTATGTTTGATGAGACACTGTTCTTCTGGGTTCCTTTGGTTCTTGTTCCTTGACTTGCTTTGAGTATATCTAAAAGTTAACTTAAACCCCTTTTTTAGGAAGTCTAATTCCTAAGGAGCAATTTCTTCTTAGTGTTTTTTTTGTATATTCCTTATAACCTTTTCTTGACAACTGATCATTTTAAATATAGTAGCCATTGAAGACCAACTCTTTTTTCCCTAGGGTTCCTTGTGTTGGATTTGTTTGTTTAGTTTTTTTACAAACTCTTTTTGCGAGGACAATGTCCTTTATTGCTCACAGTTACTGGTGTTCAGCTAGTGATTTAACCTGAGAGCCCCTGAAGCTAAGGCCCAGAACATTTTTGCTGTTGCAGATAGCTCTGTGTTGGGGCATTACTCCTTTTAGCCTTTGCCCAGGGCATCCACAACTGTGTATCAACATTATCACTCTATACTTGCATAGCTCCAGAGGTGAAAGATGAGGGTGCTCTTGGGTCTCTCCCAACCTGACACCTCGGTCCTCCAGTGTGCTTGAGAAGCTTTAAAGCCTCCATTTTGCCATATACTTCCTTCCTTCATCTTTTGGTTTTTTATTTCCTATTGGGGCTTTCTTTTTTCTTTTTCTTTTTTGTCTATGCCCATGTGTTTTCCTTTGCACAAGAAGTCATGCCTGATATTTTTTTTTGCCTTTGCATGTGTTCTTATTAGCTCTCATTGTTGCTGTGAAAAAGCACTGACCAAAATAAAACTGGGAGAGTGTCTTAGTCAGGGTTTCTATTGCAGTGAAGAGACACCATGACCACAGCAACTCATATAAAGGAAAACATTTAATTGGGATGATTTACATTTTTAGAAGTTTAGTCCATTATCATCATGACAGGACATGACTGCATGCAGGCAGACATGGTGCTGGAGAAGGAGCTGAGAGTTCTACACCTCGATCCACAGTAAACAGGAAGTGAACTGTGTACCACACTGAGTGTAGCTTGAGCACAGGAGATCTCAAAGCATCGCTCCCACACCCACAGTGACACACGTTCTCCAATAAAGCCACATCTACTCCAACAAAGTCACTCCTCCTAATAGTGCCACTCCATGTGAAGCTATTTTCCTTCAAACCACCATAGGGAGGAAAGGATTTATTTGACATACAGGTTATAGTTCATTTCTGAAGGAAGACAGTAACAGAAGCAGATAACATGTAGGGACCTTGCTTACTGACTTGTTTCCCTTGGCTTGCTCAGTTACCTCTCACAGACAGCCCAAAACAACTTGCCTAGAGATGGCACCAACCACCATGGGCTGGGCTCACCCACATCACTTAGCAATAAAGAAAAATCCCCGCAGACATGCCCAGGCCATTCTGAGGCTTTCTCTGGTGTCAAGTTGATAGATAGAACTGACTATGACAAGTGTTTTCAATAGTTGTCTTCTGGGGCTTCTCAAGGCAGGTCCTGAGCTAATCCCTTAGGGAACCCAGACAGGTCAGTCACCCCTCCACAATTCTTTGAGTCTGAGTCCACATTGCCTACTTTATAACAGCATGCAAGCTAGGAATAGGACTGGCAGAGAAATACCAGCTTCCTTGCCCCAAAGCTTGGCAGATTCTGGTTCCTGAGCTTTACTTAAGTTTGTTTTGATTGGTTTTGGTCAGTTTGTCTATATACATACTTGCCCAGTCTCCCTCTCTCCCTCTCTCTTTCCCCAACTTTGTTGCCACCTCTAGTGGAATAATAGTTTTGATGTTCTACCCTGCTAATTTTGTTGACTTCTCTGTTTCCAAAGTTTTAAGAACTCGTTCTGAATCCTTGTAGGTAAATTGATTGTTCATTACTTTGTCCTCATTTCAACAGATGTTAATGCGTGTGTGTGGGTGTGTGCATGCATGTGTCTGTGTGTATATGCATGTGTGCTTGCGTGCGTCTGTGTGTGTATGTGTGTGTGTGTGTGTGTACTATATGTGGATGTACTTATCTATGAGTATACATGTGGAACCAGTACATGTGGAGGCCAATGTAAATTGACTTCAGTGTCTTCCTCTACCATTGTTCACCTTACTTTCTGAGAAAGATTTCTCACTAAACTTGGAGTTTGTAGTTCAGCTAGACTGGCTGGCCAGCAAGACCCTGGGATCTGTCTATCACTACCCACCTCCAGGAGTTATATATGTGCCCTGCCATGCCCAGCTTTTTACATGTGTGCTAGGAACACAAACTTAAGTCTTATGCTTGCACAATGAGCACTTCACTCACTGAGCCATCTGTCCAGCCCCAAATGTTGGCTTTTCTAATACACTCCTGGGTCTTCACATAGCAACCAACTACTCGCTATAGCTGGGTATGGAGTTCCTGCCTTAGTTTCTTCTTTGCGTTTTGTACTTTTACCCCAAAGGTCTTTTCTCTTTGCTTTGTTTGCTTTGTTTGATCATTTGAAACAGGGTTTCTAGCCCAGACTGGGTCTAGAACTCCCTACGTAGTTGAGAATGACCTTGAACTTCTGGTCCTCCTGCCTCTACCTCCCAAGAATTGGGATTACAAATCTATATCACCATAGCCAGTTTGAGTTCTGGACTTTTAAATTGGTTGCAAGGCTTCCTTGCTCCAAAATTGCAGAATTAATTTGTTCTATTTTCACTATTACAAATTGTAAGAAATTATAAAGTCAAATTCTCCCACATTAAAAGCCTTAATCACTTTGAATATCTCTGGTATAAATCATGGTGAATAGATTCAAGATTCTCCATGGATGTTTAGGTTCTTAAACAAGAAATACTCTACTTTATTTTTATTATTTATTTGGTGTTGTGGGTCAAATCAAGGACCTCACATACTCTAAATGTGTGCTCCATCACTGTGCTCCACCCCTCTTCCACAAACAGATTCACTTACTAGCTTTGCTCAGTGAATTTAAATTTCCTCTGAAGAATTTTAAATTGTAAAACTAGGTATGATAGTGTATGGGTATAATCACAGCACAAAGGAGGCTGAGGCAGAAGGATTACCATGAGTTCAAAGCCAGCCTGGGATACCTGGCAAGACGCTGTCAGAAAAAAAAGATAAGTCAGGCTAACCTGGGCTGTAACACAGAGAAACCCTGTCTTGAAAAAGAAAGAAGTGTAGCGGACCCAGGCTCAAGTCCTAGTATTCATATGGCAGTTCACACCTCCAGTTTCAGGTGGTCTGATGGCCTCTTCTGTGTACTGTGCACACACTTATATACAAAGAAAATACACATGAAATAAAATGAATATGTGCAAAACAAACTTAACAAATGATGAATCATGGCATTGCTCTTATTTTAGGATGACTTGGTTCTGATTTGCCTGAGGCCTTGCTAATATAAAGACTTCATTGAGCTTGGGCAACCCATGGGAGGGAACCTACTGTATTTTGACCTGTAAATGGTAATAGCAGTTTCTGTCCTGTGGGGTTTCTACAAAATTAACCATGGAAATGCCTATTCAAGGGCCATAGAGCCTGTAAAATATTAAATGTGTAAGACGGCAATGATGAAAGGAGTGAAAAAAAGAGTACTTTACATCTACTGGTGCTTATTTAGACAAAGCACCATGCTGCTATGTCAGCACATAGGAGGTGGCTGATAAATGCTAGAGTGTTGACTGAATTTCTATTGCATCTTTGATTTGCCACGTGTTCCTGTCGTATTCCACCAATCGAAATACTGCAGGTAGCTAATTTCTTGGTACTTGTAGTGGAATAGAAAAGTATAATAATAAAAATAAGGGGGGATATATAGTATGTTAAACAGTAGGCAATGCTTGAGAGAAAGAAAATAGGCAAGAAAGAGTGTTGAGGTGGAAACATTCAATGGGGTGCTTAGAAAGTCAACAGGAAGGCAACATTTCAATAAATGTAAAGGTGACGAGAGGGAATAAGCAAAGGCAGAAGTCAGTTTGGCCATGCGAGACTTCCTAGGGAACATGGTGAGAGTGCTGGGAAGTATGAGGAGCTTGAGGGGAATGAGAAGCAGAAGCTAGATCTGATACAGAGTGCTGCTGCCTCCAACAGAATCCCTTAGTGGATCCAAGAGAGATCAGGGAGGGAAGTGTAAACCCCTAGGAACTTCTTAAGATGGACTATGTTGGGGGTAGTGGAGGGCAGTTAGATTCTGTGTAATTTGTTGTTTTATTACTTTTTATCCTTTGGCCCTTTTGGGGGCTTGCCACCCAGCACCCAAATACACACAGAGGCTTATTATTGCTTATAAATGCCTGGCCTTAGCTTGACTTTTTTCTAGCCAACTTTTCTTAACTTATACTATCTACCTTTTGCCTCTGGACTTTTACCTTTTTCTATTTCTCTATATCTTTTCTTTCCTTCTTATTCCATGTCTGACTGTGTGGCTAGTCCCCTTCTTTCCTCCTTGTTCTCTTGCTTCTCCTACTCTCCTCAAAGATTTCTCCTCCTATTTATTCTGTCTGTCTGCAAGTCCTGCCTTTCCTTTTTTCTGCCTCGCTATTGGCCGTTCAGCTCTTTATCAGACCATCAGGTGTTTTAGACAGGCAAAGTATCACAGCTTCACAGAGTTAAACAAATGCAACATAAAAGAATGCTCCACATCTTTGCATCATTAAACAAATGTTCCACATCATAAACAAATGTAACACATCTTAAAATAATATTCTACAACAAATATGGATCTGTCAAACTGGGGAAGAGGCTTGTGGATGGGAATGGTAAGATAGGGGTGTGGCGTGAGAATCATGGATGACTGACATGTTAGTCGAATAACTTCTTATGCCTCCTTTTGCACATGAGGAAACTGAGGCCTGGCATGATTAGGGGTCCCTCCTCTGAGGGCCTGGACCAGGATCTGCCTACAGCCCTGGCACTGCAGTGGGCCTCTTTCTGTCTAGAAACAAGAACTGTAGGGTCATAGGTTGAAGCCTGCTCACATGCTCCTATCACTGTGTTCCCTTTTGTAGAGGGAAGCCGAGAGAAGTACGCAGTCCCACCAGATGGGCCGCCTCACCCTATGACTGCCCACTGGTTCTGCGGAGGCTCATTCGCAAGGAAGACATCCGGGCTGGCTGCAAGTGTATTGTGAAGGCACCCCTGGTGTCTGACTTGGAGCTAGAGCGCTTCCTGTCTGCACCCCGAGACCCCAACCAAGTGCTGGTATTTGGGATAATGTCAAGCCAGAATCCCATCAATACTGCACAGCTGCAATGGCTGCTGGACACACTGTATAGCCATCGGCAGCAGGGCCGTTCGTCACCCTGCACCCAGGTTGGTTCAGGATCCAGCAAGGAGACCCCTTGGGCCAGGGACAGAGAGCAGAACCAAATATAACCTCCACTGTATGAGGATGGGTTAGGTGTCTGTCAGTTCCTTTCCTTTCCTGAACCGTGGCATACGCTCCCCTTTCTCTCTGCAGCATTTTGTCTCATCTTCTCTCTTCTGCTCATTCTTCTCTACCAGGATGAATGTCACCACATCAGAGTAGATGCTTCTTCTAGCCTTTGAAACAAGGTCAAGACACAGTCTTTTTCTTTCAGAGAACTTCGCACAGTTTGTGTCCACAAGTGGTGTGAATGTTCAGGGCAAAGACAGTGCCCACCACCCATGCTCTTACAGTTCAGTATATGTGGACTGTTCCCAAGTCCCTCCATGTGCTGGACTTGTGCCAGGCTCTGGGCACCTATTGCTGGTTCAGCATGAGCCAGTCCCTGAAGGAATTCTCAGTATGACTGCAGCCACAGGTCTCTGAAAGGGCCATGGCAGGACAGCTCTGGGAAGTGTGACTTCTGTCTCCTGGGCTCAGGATGAGCTGCCTAGAATGCTCAGGGCTCTGGCAGGGCCTGTGTAGGGATGAGGATGGTTTGAGGTCCCAATTTGTCTAAGAGGTATTGGAGTACAAGGTTTAGGGCACAGGGAACCTCCTCTCTCTTAGAGTTGTTCCAGCCTCCTCATCCTGAGTGTGCCCCCAACAGTGTTGGAGAAGCCCCCAGACTCATGTGGACATGTGAGCTAGGTGACTTCTTCTAAACTGTCTTTCCCCTAAAGCCTGTTGCATTATCCCTTCCCTACTCCCAGCACCCCACCCTCACCCAACTCCCCAGTCACACCCCGCTGCTATAGAGTTCTAAATTTGTGTGGGAAACTTGGGGTAGGGGTCTGCCTGAATACTCCCTCTTAACCTTTCTTTCTAGGAGTGCTGCCTGCCAGCCTGTTCCAGGAGCTCAGCATTTAGGGCCTTTCTAAAATCAGATGTCCCTTCCCCACCAGGGCCCTTCTCTTGACTCTTTTCAAGAGAGCAGCCAGCCACAAGCCTTGCACCCAGCCCTGCAACAGAGCCACATTTATTTCATGCATTCATTTCCAGCTTACTTCAATTTAGAGAATGTTCACTGAGAACCTGCTCTGTGCTCACCTGTTTCCTCATGGCAATGTACAATGTTCACCTGGGGGCTATTAATTTTTCACTAACGAATAAAATGCTTAGGTGTCTTACTCCAGCCACAAGCAGTGTGAATGGGGCCAAGATCTGACCTGAAGTAGTTGGAAGGCGGTGAGTCTGCGGATAGGCATGGAAGGTAGTATTGGTCTTTACAGAGACTGAACTTCTGCCCTGGCTAATAACTGGTCATTAGTACTCTCATCCCACAACGGCTGACTGAACACCACAAAGGGGTCCAGAGGGTCAGCCAGGGAGAGGTGGGGTAAAAAGTTTCTCTGAGCTGTACAACATAGCTTCCTAAATCTGGTCCACTTAGGGCAGGACTCCCATCTTCAGACCTTCCAGAGTGAGGGACATCATAGTCCACAGATCCCAGGGCAAACCTAGTGCTGTCACATGCAGGAGGGTCACTCTAGTGATGACATCCTCCACAGAGGGCTCAGAGCAGATCTGGAGACCTCCTCTGAGGACAGTGATGGCTTCAGGGAAGTTAACGCATGTCTTCTTGCATCAGGGTGACCAGTTCCCACATCTCTATTTGGCAGTGCCGGCATGACCCTTATCGTCTGCTGCGGTATGACCTAGACAGCCCCCTACAGAAGGATCCACCCCTAATGGTGCAGAAGTTTGCTGTGGTGCACGGGATGGTTTTGGTGAGCAGGGGCCCTGCCAAGGGCTGGACATCCATCACCAACCACTACTGTCTCAGCCAGATGGGGGATGGGGGGTAAAGCAATCTTCTCCTACCCACACTGAGGCCCAGAGAACAGGACTTCCTGACAGTCACCCAATAGACTCCCATCCCTATCCTAGGAGATGGAGGGGTTGGGTGACATTAACACAGAAAATCAAATTCTATTCATCTGATTGTTATTAAATTACACTAAAATATTATAAAACTTTGTATGTTTATTGAAAAATAGCGTGTGCAATCTAGAAAATATTTTTGGTTGTGAGCCTAGCTTTTTATGACTGAGCCATCTCTCCAGCCCTCAAGAAAAATAATGACACCTTCCTACCACCCAGGATCTTGCTCATCTATCCAGCACCTAGGTTCTGGAGCCCCTGCTAGGCCACATCCACCTGACACTGTAGTATCTGGCCTTTGCTGTCAAGATACTTTGCTTTCTCCACACACATATATTAGGGCAACGTCTTTCCAGTAAGATAACAGAGCACCATCCCACATCTTCAGTTTGTAGCACCAGCATTTTTACCACTGGATGAGTCTTATTACTACCCATGCTGCTTTTGTTGGACTGTTGGGTTCTTTTCCTCTCTCCCTTATTCCTGTTTTTCTTTTTCCCATAATAATGGTATGATGAATACCCCTGCCTAGCCATCTCTAGACAGATGTCCATGTTGAAGAATGGAGTAGAGGGTATGAGACCTCCATTTCATAAAATGAGCTGAATGGTACATCCTATTATGTGGGTTTGAAGCAGAAGGGGCTTCACAGCTCTAGGTAGGTGGGTAGGAGTCTTGAAAGTATGAAGTGTACATCTGACAGGCCCTCATTAGGGGCCAAAAACTGGGCAGGTTGGGCTGCCCTCTGACTAAAGAGGGCCTTGCAGGGGCTAGGCTCAATCATGTCTCCCTGGGTTGCTGAGGGAGGGTAGCACACATTCCCATGCTGTCAAAGGCCTGAGTCCTATCCCGGCTCTGAGGGACCTGTGGCCAGGCATACCAAGACTTGGAACTTGGCTGTCATTATCGGTCATGCCACTATGTCAATACACTGAAGTGTTTCTTACTTCATTTCTTTCCTATCTTCCAACAGATGTTTGCTGGGGGGAAGCTCCTTTTTGGGGGCTGTCTCCTAAATGGCTATGGCTTCAGCAAGCAGAATCTACTGAAACAGATCTTCCGGGCTCGACAGGATTGCAAAATGGGCTACTTCCTGCCAGATAACTACAAATTCAAGTAAAATTGGATAAAGCATCACACAGGATGGGATAATGGGGCCGTGGGTGGGAAAGCAGGTAGTCCCAAAGAAGTGAGGTGGGGGAGAGCCAGAGCCAGGAAAGTAGAGTGCTATCTCTTCCTACAGTCCCCTGAACAAAAGCTACAGGAGGAGGGTTTTGCAGGTGCACAGGGGAAGAGAAAGAATAGGCAGGAAGAGGTGAAAAGGGTTGTACTGTTAGTCTCTTTGATTGTAAGTTTGGATAAAGGGCTGCGTGAGAAAAGCACTACTTGTTTCCACAATGTCCTGCTCAAATGGAGATAGTGTAAATATGCCTGGGGTGGGCAGGAGGCTCAGTCAACACCCATCAGGTCCAACCTGTGTGCACATTCACCTTGGCTTCTATTGGATTGCTATGTGGGTCTCATAGACACAGATAGTCATTGGTGGAATAGGCTTAGGTATCAGCATCCAACTAAGGTGCTGCCACGTACTAAGCATCTCCAGGCTGGTTCTGGTGAGTGACAGAAGGTAGTCTGAGCTCAGGACACTCTCGTCTAGTCCAGGAGGAGCCTGGGCTTTATGCTAAAGGCTGCATTCCAGGAAGACTGGCAGGTTCCAGATTCCATTGTGCTCCACAGTGCAGGTTCCTGAGAAACTTGCTAGGTTGGGTGTCCTAAGACAAGGTTAGAACCCCACCTTTGCCTTACATTATCTGGGTGACTGTCAGGTGGGCTGATCAGGTGAACTCCCAAATCTTTAACTCTTTGCCTTTACAATGAAGATAATACTCAGTCTCGCAGGACTGTAAGGATTTCACAAAAGAGTATTTGCTAACAAGCTCTGTAAGTGGTAAACAATGATGAAATCCAGGATAATGTAATCTGTAATATCTATACGCAGACCTAAGCTACCTGTGGCGCACCCCTATAGCACCAAGTTAAGTCCCCCATGCTAATTTTCCATCTTTTTGTTTGTTTATTTGTTTGTTTGGTTGGTTGGTTTTTCAAGACAGGGTTTCTCTGTGTAGCCCTGTCTGTCCTGGAATTTGTTCTGTAGACCAGGCTAGCCTCAAGCTCAGAAATCTATCTACCTTCCTCTGTCTCCCAAGTACTGGGATTAAAGGTGTGTACCACCATGCCTGAGTGTAGCTTTCTGTCTTGATGTCAGTTCACCCCAAGGAGCTGAGTTGGTTTTTTTTTCAGTCTGCTTCTCCCTGGGGTTGGGGATACATTCATGGACAATCCATGAAGGTCACACCAAGTGACCCCAATATTTTGGCTGGAAGAGGATGAACCTGTAGGGATAAGGTAGGACAGACAGAAGATCCTGAGTGTTCTGAGTCCCTATCACTCAGAACACCAAGAGAAGAGAGTAGAGCAGCTGGAGACCAGACGTTGGCAGGTCCAGGGAGTTAAAGCTGAGTTTCAGGATCTGTTTACAGTTAATGTGCCAGAGATATGTTGGGTCTTACTGAGCATTTATGTCCATAAACTCAGCACCTTAGATCCCTGTAACAAAAAGATACTAGGAAACAGCAAAAGAAGATGGATTTGTTTACAGTTTGAACAAATAGTGAGGGGTCTAATTATTTCCCCCTACTGTGCTTGTGGCCACCTTATAGTTTATGGAAAACTATGCAACAAAGGATACGGTATATGAAAATTTATCTGTGGGCCCAGAGTTCAGCTTCCTCACCCAAGCCTCTGGGTCCTCGGTGGGAGGGCACAGCAGGTCTGTAGCCAGACAGCCTCAGTGGGAAGACATGTAGAATGTGGTCCTCACATGAACATCCCCGAATGAAACTGTATCTACCTGCACACAATACTCACACTTAGCCCCTGCCTTCTTCTCTAGGGTTGGGGACAGCTAAGGGAGGTCACATGTGGTTTGCAGGCTCCACTTCCTGTGTCTGTGAGCAGAGAGGTGTTACCCTGCCATGTTCACACTCCAGTGAGGATTAGGTACAAGAGGGACCAGATTAGGGCAGTGTGAGATTTCCAGGGAGGCTAAGGGGATGGGAGAGCAGACCAGAGAAAACAGTTTGTCCCCTAGAAGCACAAAGGAACTTAGCCTGCAGCAGTCCCAGAAGTGTGTGAGTATGAGCCCCCCCCCTCCATGTAGCAGTAAAATGGCTAGTGGAAACATTTCCTGTCTCCCTCCACCTGGGTTCTTATCCTTCCTTTCCTCAAGAATGAAGTGGACCAGTCAGTGAAGACAACCAATAGGAGGTTGGTTTATTGCTTTAGTGCCAATTTGAGATTAACAACTTTAAATGGGAAAAAAAACAACTTTAAACAGATTGGTACACAGGTTTTGACAATTTAAATGTATCAGGTTTGAATTCTTGCTAGCAGAAGGATGATAGCCTCTTAGAGCTCTTTCAGCTTTGAAAAGTTTTAACAGCTTAAAAATTCTTGGAGGACTTCAGGGCACCAATGTAGAGCAGTCCCTTGCAGAACAAATCTGCTGGTCAAACAACAGGAACACAAAGGTCATGAAGGCTGGAAGCAGCTCAGGAATGAATTGTCATCTGCAGTGGAAGTATAGCATCTTGGAGGCTGAGGCAGAAATGAGTGTTCCTGCCTGCCGCTACTGTTCATGTCCTGGAGGCTGGCTCACATGAATTTCCTGCATAGGAACAATTCTGTCCCCTGCCTGTCTTAAAGGCTGCCTTCAGTGAGGGCAGTCTTCCTTCAGTGAAGATGAGCAACTGGCTGGAGCCCAACCTGAAGTCTTCCTTTTCTTCTTCCTCCCTCGGTTCTAGCAACACTTCTGTCTCTTCATCCCCCAGACCGTCCGAATGTACTGGGTACCTGATGGACTCTGATTTGCTGAATGTGGGTATGCAAATAAAGTGGAAAATAGGATCAATCCTGGAAGAGGTGTTAAACCTACTTGGGGAGGTAGAAGAGCCCTTAGTCCTCCAAAAAGTTGCTAAAAGTTCACAATCAGGTTGCGAAGACTGCAGAGACAGGGACATTAGAAAGAGTATTAGTCTGTCCCTAGTTGCTACAGGAGCTCAGTGGGGAAGATTTTGGTCAGGTTTCTTCTCTTTTTCTTTTGTGGCAGCAAAATATGCAATTGTGTAACATTTGCAAGTGTGCCCGTGACATCTTGTGGCCCTTTGCTGCCTGTGGGACATGGCATGGTCATCAGGGAGAGGAGTGAGGAACTGTAGGCTCCAAGTTCTCTGCTCTGTGTTGCTAGAGTCTGGGTGGGTAGCTATGTCCAGAAAAGCAACCCAGGATCCTGACCTTGAGTCAGGAGCTCTTGGCACAGCACATAAACTTTACAGAAGAAGAAACTGAGGGCTAGCAAGGAAAAGGATGTGCTTTGAATAGGGGATAAGTCCAGGCCGCAGTACAACTATGACCGTTGTTTTCAGTCATGTCCTGAAGGAATGGAACATAACCTTTTTAGAGCTGTTCGTACAGGAGACAATCAAACTCTGTCAGAAACGGCTGCACTCTGCAGGGACCAAAGTGCTTCGAAAACAGTCTTGGCCCCATAAACTGAATGCTGTGTAAATTGTAATGTGCTCAGTGAACCACAGAGAACTTTGCAAATGGTCGTGAAATCTGTGAGAGACAAAGTCCTTTGTAAATTGCCACATCCCTGATAAGTCACAGTGGGCAGTGGGAACTGCTGAGTGCCCTGTGAACTAGGGAGGGTGTCTAGGCCTCCTCTCAGACCAGCTCAACCTAAACAGCAGAGTACTTTGCAAGCTATCACATGCCGTGCACAGTTGCCAGTCATCTATGAAGTGCCCTGCACAGCACAGCACTTGGTAAACTACATGGCAATCTATGAAGGACAAAGCATCTTATAAACTGTCAAGTACCCTGTGACATACAGACTGGAGTGAAGCCTCGTAAAGATAATCTGGTATGCATATGCCTGTGTGAGAACGTCAAAGGGTTTGTGAATAGTCATGATCTTTATGAACGTCAAGTGAAGTCTTGGTGTGCTCTGAGTGCTACCAGTTGTGAGAGAGTTCTTCACCCCGGATTACTGTACTGTGCCATAGTTTCTGCCCACCCACCTTAGAAGAGGCAGGGTCACCTGAGCCACAAGAGGAGGTTGCCAGGGACTAGTGAGGAGAAGTGGTTGCAGCAAGGGGCCATGTTCCACAGATTCATGTACTGAAATCCTTAGCTCCATGGCAATGGTGTTAGGAACGTGGACACTGGGAAGTGACTAGGTCACACGTACAGAGACTATGAGTGAAGTTAATACCTAGAAGCCAGCTTACCCCTTCTGCTGTGTGAGAGCAGTGAGAGGCTGCCATCCATGGATATCATCCATGAGTGTCACCGGGCACTGAATCTCCTGGCACCTTGATGATAGACTGCCTGTTTTGAGAACTGAGTGCACTTCATGTCAGTGGTCTGTTTGCCATGTAGGCACAGCACTTTTAGAGCAGCCAGAGCAGCCACACTGAGTGGCTTAAGCAGCATCTGCGCATCATCTCAGTTCTGAGGACTGGAAATTGGATGCAGGTACCAGAGGACCATAGTCCTTCTCAAGTCACATTCTAGCCTCTATTTGGCTTTGGTGACAGCATTACTCTGATGTGGCACTAGTCACTCCAGAATGACCGCATCACAACTAATTATATCTATACTGATGCCAGGGTTCTGGGGTTAGAACTTCTGCATATGAATTTGGGGGATACATTCGGTCCACAGCATTGCATGATGGCATAATTTCCTTGACCTCTCCTTTTCTGCTTTGTAAAGCCCTCTGTATCCTGCGGACATTGCCTATGCTCAGTGTAGCATGAACCAGGTAGCTGGTGGCACGGGAACGAGGACTATGCAGTCCCATATAGAAGCCAAGGTTTCCCGGGTCCCCAGAGCAGAAAGTTTCTCCCTTGGCACAAATGGGGGGAAGAGTATTTTGCTGGCCTGTCTAGGAACTGGGATAGGGTGGTATAGCACTGAGAAAACTCTAGACTCTGACCTCTGATCCCTATGCTGTGCCTTCCTACCAGCCTTCCCTACAGCATGTCAACCTTTATCACAAGCCTGGAAGATTCTGAGTCATCTAAAAGGCCCCCATCTGAAGATTTCGAAGGAAGTGTCTCTTCAATGGCGCTTGGGGACAAAGTGGAAAAAGCACCTTCTACCCCCCCTGACAAGTATGTTTTCCCCATGTCTGTCTCTGGTTGGCAGATTAGGAATGGCTCATTATAGGATCTCTAGCTTAATCACAGGCCACTAAGGCTACCATGGCATGGCTTATGCCTTGGAAATCTGTGTCCCTCCAAGGTACAGGCCAGCCCCTGACTTCCAGCCTGTTTTACAGTATCCCATTGGGTGTCAGGGTGTCAGTTGTGCACTAGGATATAACACTTTGCAGCAAGGCCCCACAGTCTGGGACCATCTGTCAGAAGTATGGAGGCCATCCCCGACTCCAGCAAGTTCCTTGGTGATTGTGACAGGGAACCAAATCAAAATTCTGTAGTGTGACTCTTTTCAGAAAGATGGAAAAGTGCTAAAATTAAACTAATGGTGCCACTGGTCCCCCAAGTTGGAGCTGTCCCCTGCCACTCTTCCCTCCAGGGCCCTCATCACGTGGGCCATGCCCTGCTCGCTTGTTGCCCAATGCCTGCTTCTTCCTGTTGTATATTTAGGTTGAAACAGCCTGAAGAAGAACTGCAGTCCTTCCTCAGGAGTAGGAGGAGCAGTAAGAAGTTAAATAGTAAGAAGTCAGGTTCTAAGAAGTGACACTGGAAGAGCCAACGATGCCCTCCCCACACTCAGCCCTACTTCCTGGTCTCCCATCACCCTTCAATAAATGTGCATGCCTCCAGCATCTGGGTGAGGCAGTGGTGGGTGGGAAAGGCCCAGCTTTGACTCCAAGGAGGCCCAAGGCCTCCGCAACTAGTTTCAGGCCATGTTCTTAGAAACTTACTACTTCCAACTCAGAGCTTCCTCTGTGTCCAGGAATAAGCCTGAATCTGCCATTCTGGTGAACAAATGTCTCATGGTCCAGGGCCTGCCTGCTCAACCATTCAGCAACCCTGGGGAGCCTCAGAAGGGTCTGGATGGTGTATCTCACCCACTTTCAAGTGGGAAAGACTTCTGGTAGAAAGAAGATGAGAAAGGAGAGGGACAAAGAAACGGAAAAGAGACTGAGGGAGTGGTGAAAAGAAATGAGGAAGCAGACAGGAATGAGGAGGAAGGAGGGGCAGAAAGGGATGATGAAGGAAATGAGAGACAAAGATGAGGAGGAGGAGTGGGCCGAAGGCCAGAGACCAGCAGACACCTTGCAGGCTCTCATCACCATTTAGCTCAGCAATAGAACACATGGCTGGACTGGATTCTCCTTTTTCTGAGTGCATGGGCCTGGGGTATCCTTACCAACATCCAGGGGACCCAGGCAACTGTCTGCTGGGGTGATGCTTTGTCCTTACCTCTGAGAGTTGAGTCTCTCACAGCTGTGTGGTTGGTAAGAGCTGTGTCCCCATAGCAAGGATTGTGGAGGCTCTGCCTTGGCCTTTGTGCCTAGAGTAGTCTAGGCCTCAAACAGGCAGTATTTTGTGATGTATTTCACAGATAATCATTTGTGTTTCTTGCTTTTTCAATCTGAATTTGCCACAGCTTAGTATTTTGTTGTTGTTGTTGTTTTCATTTTGTTTTGTAGCTTTCAAAGACATTTTTTGAGTCATGTGTTTCTTCCCCTAGAAGTGTATTTGAAGTGGCCTGCCCTGTTCATAAGTTGCATATGTTGATATTTTCAGGCCTTGAGGTTTGTTAGGGGTTTAGAGCTCTAAGCATCCCCCATCTTTCCCCTCCAAACACAAAGACAGATAAAAGCAAGAAGACAAGGGGCCAAAGTTCTGTTCTATCCTCGCATCCTCCAGCCTGATGAAGGTCAGAACCAAGGCCTCTGCTTAGGTAGAGTCTCCAATGGCGCCTCTGACCTGTGCCTCTCTGACCTTCAGGCTGTATGCTCTGCTGTGCTCAAGCGAATATGCTAAGTAGTCAGTGCTGTGCCCACCACGAACAGAGGCAGGGCAGGTCCTGGTCCTCTGCAGGGTCCTCTGCAGGGTGCTCATCACCCTGGAGGGCTCTCTGTGAACAGGAACACCTCCCGCTAGCAGAGCAGGCAGTGAATGTTCAGGGCAACACCATCAGATCGCTCCTGGAGGAGTAGGGTAAGGACGAGGAGGAGGACAAGGAGAAAATCCTTCCCCATGGAAATGACAGGAGAGAGAGGTAGGCTTTCTTCCACAATGGCTCCCACAAAGCAGGCAGCTAGGTGTCTGAGCTGTAAACTCTGTTGATTAGAGCAGGGCTTCTTAAACTTTTCTCACTTAGTACCAAGAAATTTCTGCATAATCTTGGGCATATAGGTATGTAAAACAGGTATGCAAATCAGATTATTTACTAATAATAAATAATAAAGAAATTTATTTTAAAGCAATTCTTTGATATACCTATGATTTTCCATTTACTAAGGATGAAAGCAAATTTGCATCCTTATGCAATGAATGTACTTATGTATTTTATGTAAGGAATTAAATCTTGCCGCATATTTAATGCTATAAAAGTTAGAGCATCTTGCCACTTTGCAGAGTTGATAGTCATTCTGATTTTATAATCATCAGTGATAAGAATACCACATTACATAAAGTGACAGAATTACATTTGGGGCCATTTTAGAAATGGCTCGGGAAATTTTAAAATATGCATTACGTCCAAGTAAGGTTTTTCCTAAAGATATAAAGCATCAAACACTAGTCAACATCATGTGATGTTCTGGGATAGTGTGATGTTCCCAAGGACCTGAGCTGGATCAGATACAATGCAGAGAAAGAGGTATATGAGAACAATTATTTGAATTATTAAGCACACCTTCCCATTGCCACAGGACCCACCTCCTTGTGGGTTGTCTCCCAGGCACCAGCATCAGCAAGGGTTAAGGAGCTTGGCTACTAGCCAAGCAGAAATAGTGTTAGCCTTGAGCGACATAACATCCCACTATCTGTGCAATCTCCCGGCCCCTAGCTCAGCCTTTGGAAATGAAAGCTCAGCCTAGCTGAGGCTCCTCTGCCTGCTGCATCCTAATGATCTCCACCCGGAGTGTGGGCACCCCCCACCCGCCACCAGCTCCTTCAGCTCCCCAGTCCTGAGCCTCCCTGAAGCTGTCAACTCCCATGTGGGAAGAAGATTGGGTCGTGCCCGCAGCTGGTCCTTTTTGGAGGGAAGAAACTAGGAAAGGGAGGGCTGAGAGTGGGCTGGGGTCAGGTGCCCAGGGGCCAAGCTCATCCTGTGGGTCTGGGCAGGGGGCTTCCAACTATAGATTATGACCTGCTAATGAGTGAAAAATCCATTTGGAGGATGTGATCCACATTTTGAAGAAGAAAACTGGAATAGGAAATGGCACGATGCATGTAGAAAGGTGGCAGGCTTTGTTTGAGCCACCCTGAGTGTAATATCTGAGACACAGCAGCTTCACCACCCCCTCGCCCCAGCCGTCTGTGCATATGACCTTGGATACTATTTGAAATGAGTAATGTTGGAGGGCCTAGTCTATTGTGGGTGGTACCACCCCTGGGAAGGTGGTTCTGAGTCATATAGAAAAGCAAGCTGAGCAAGCCATAGGAACAAGTCAGTAAGCAGCATCCCTCTAGTGCCTCTGCCTCAGTTCCTGCCTCCAGGTTTCTGCCTTGAGTTCCTGCCCTGACTTCCCTTGATATGGAAGTATAAGTCAAATAAACCGCTTCTTCCCCAGGTTTCCTCTGGTCATGGTCTTTATCACAGACATAGAAAGCAAACTAAGTTTGTGTGGCATATGTGCAAATGTGTGTGAGTGTGCACGGTTGTGCATGCAGAGAGGCCAGAGGAGGACATTGGGTGTCCTTCTCTACCATGCTTCACCCTATTCCCTTGAAGACAGAGTCGCTCCCTAACCTGGAGCTAGGCTAGTGCCATTGTACTGTCTGCTGACTCCACCCAAGAGAGTGCAAGAGCTTTGGACTCGGGTCCCCATGCTTGTGCAGCCAGCGCTTTTGGCCCCTGAGCCATCTCCTCAGTCCAGATTTTGGTCAATCTAATAGGCATGCAATGCTACCCCCATTGTCTTTTAAATTGTATTTCCCTAATGAGTATCTTCCTATAAGTCATCTGCCATTTTTATCACTTGTTTTTGGTTTTTCAAGACAGGTTTCCTCTGTGTAGCTGTGGCTGTCCTAGAGATCCACCTGCCTCTGCCTCCCGAGTGCTGGGATTAAAGATGTGAGCCAACCACAGCCTGGCTCTTATCTCTTCTTAAGTGCAGTGCTTATTTGGATGTTTGGTCTATTTTGTTAATAAAGTTGTTTTCTCTTCATCATATTTATATTTATAGATATTGTTTATATATAACCCTTCCCCCCACCCAAGCTGGGTATTGTGCATGCTAGGCAAGTGAGTACTTACCTCTGAGCTTCAGCCTCAGTCCTTGGACAACAGTCCTTTATTGGATATGTGTAACATGAAGGCCGGCCTTCATGTTACGCATATGGCGTCTGCAAATATTTTCTGTCGTGATCAGTGCTGTTTAAATTTTCTCTAGAGTTTTGTAATTTTGCACTCTATGCTTCCATCTATAAATCTATAATCTTTTTTGAATTAGCCTTTATGACAAGCTTGAGTCCTGTGCAGAGTCACTGTTTGGCACTTGCCCGCCCAACATGACTTTCATACTTTCTCCATCATGACACCTTTGCCCCTCTGTGAATGGATGGTTGACAGCATTCTGTGGGTTTAGCTATGGGTTCTCGGTTGTGTTTCATTGATGTGTTGGCTTGTCCTTCACCATGGCCACAGAGACTTGATGTTACCTGTGATACAGTATGTCTTAAGTCTAGGGGTGTCTCCAAGCTTTGTTCTTCTGTCATTTTTCAGAAGTGGGAATTGAGATACCAAGATGTTAAGTTGTTTGCCCAAAGTCATGCAGCCTGCCGTCTTTCTTAGGGCTGGTGGGAATGCAGGCTGATTCAGCACTCGAGAAAGCATTACAGTTCAAGTCATTGGGCTACAAAGCGTGCATCTGGGACCTAGATTAAAACAGGAAATGAAAGGGGAGGGAAAAGGGAGTAAGATATCTTGATCATCAGCTTGACGGGATTTCAGATGATCGTGGAAACAAACTTCTGGGCATGAATATGAGCGATTCTGTAGAGAGGATAATTGGTCAGGCCCACCCTGGATATGAGGGACACCGTCCCTTGTGCTGAGGTCTCGGACCACATGTGGAGAGAAAGTGCACACCAGGACTTGTGCTGCTCCTCCCTGACTGTGGGCCCCGTGTGGCAAACTCTTTTCATTCTCTTGCTAAAAACAGGAGTTTCATGACTTCCTGCCATTGTAGGTGAGCGTTCCTCCTTTAATATGTCAGGTATTTGAAGTTTTCCTTTTGTTGTTTGTATGTGTATGTCAGGCATTTGAAAAAGTAACTTCTACAGGAGATAACAAGAGAATGCCAGGCTCCACTATGTCACACAAAGTCACTAATGGTGGTGAGTAGGGTTGTGCCACAGTGGCCACTTAAGTGGCAGCTAATTCCCCCAGGAAACAAGGGTCTCTTTTCCCAGTGAAATGCGACAATTTGTGTGTACTAGAATGTGTAGCTCCTACCCAACCACAGCAATGAACCAGACAGGAAACCAGCCCCGCCTGTGGGAAGAGAGACCCCAGACCCAGTCAGCATAATGCGTGGTGTATTTGGTATTGACAAGGGCTATGGGACAATGAAGGGGGAGTCTGACTGAAGAGATGGCTTTTGAACAAAACACTGAAGGAAGTGAAAGAGGAGCCATGCAGA